CACCAACCAGAACTGAAGGAAGCCTGTATCCAACTGTTGTATTTAATCCAGTTTGTCGACTAATCACAGTCTAGGGATTTCAAAAGAAAACATCCATTAGAAATTTAAAAAAAAAAAAAGATCATGCCAGATTTTCTACAAGGTTTATGCCATAATGCCTTAAAGTATGAACACCACYGGGCTCTGTGGAAAGTGATTAATTTCTTGAAAACACTCAGGTCACAGTAATTGACATGACCTGTGTAATTAAGCAGTCTCTGTTTACACACCAGAAGCCCAGGCGCTGTGAGGCTGAGTTTGCTTGACAGAATGTCTTTACATGTCAGGGGATCAACAACCTTTCTTCTGTCCTCCTCAGTCACCTACACAGGCCCCTGATTGCTGCTCAGAGGAGACACGCTCTGGCATCGCCGTGTGAAGATCAGGCTGGCCTGGGACGCATACAGAATGCGTGGAGAGAAGACAGCCACTTAATAGGCGACGGAGGGTGTTTTCCATCTGATGTCTGCAGGACTCGGGTTTTTAGTATCACTGGTAAAAGCCACATTGAGATGTACAGAGTAATCCAGAGGGTTTTTGTTTTTTTGTTTGTTTGTTTGTTTGTTTCATGACAAAAAGACAGTCTCTCACTCTCCCTCAAAGGCAACAAAAATATTTGGAATCAGTTTCCCAATTCACGGGCTGTGAGGAAAGTGACAGAAATGATTTGCCCTGTTCCTAAGAAGCCTTCCTCCAGTGTCATCATGACACATCTGTCAGCTGTCAGCTGCGACGGCTGCAGAGAAGGCTACCTCTGAGRCTTGGGACAGCAGAGCACTCTGCAGTGTCTGAGGCTGCTTTGCTCAGGCCTCATGGAGAACTGGCCCAAACCTCCCCAGTGAGGTGAAGCTGGCTGCTGCTGACCTCGGACGGACTCCTGTCTCTAAAGTTCCTTCAGATATAAAGTGACCCATGCTGCAGCTCCCTTCTGGAACAATGTGCAGGCCCTTCCCCTTCTGGGCAACCCCACCCCACCTCTGCTGGGGCTATTTCAATGTCCCTCATACAGATGGTGTCTTGAGGCTCCATTAGGGCAAATGCCCTTTGAAAGCCCCTCTCTAGGTTTCCTGGGATCCTGGCAGTGAATTGTAGGTATTCCCATGGCTCCTGGGTGAGGCCCATATTGCCCACAGGGATCCTCCTACAACTCTGGAAAATTTCTTTATTGTTCCTAAGCACCAGGTAATATCTGACTGGGTCAGCTGGCCTGGRCTGCACCACTACCTCACCATTGAGTAGGTTCATAGCTTTGGGCAAACTGCTTAACTGCTCTAAGCCWGCTTCCTCATTTATTAAATGGGAGTAATTCATATTTGCATGTTCTTAACAGGGATACTATGAAGATAATCAGAACTCACATAAAATGCTTCACATAGCATCTCTCACAAAATAAGTCCTTAAGAAATGTTATCTTCATCATCACCACTGATGTCCGTGAATGTACATTGAGGCGGACACAMGGACACAAGTATATGGAGCACACTGAACGTAGGCACTTACATCAGCAGTCATACGCCCCATGCATCGTGCAGTCAGGATTGGACCTAATGCAGTGACGTGGGGAAGAGAAGCCGGCTTTATATGGATTCAGAAAAAGAAAAAAGAAAAAAAATGACGATGACTCTGAATTCAGTTTGGGGCTTACGAACTGAACTCCAACACACATCTGGATAGCTAGACCTGAACCTGGGTGCCAGGTCTCAGAGCCCCTCACTCCGGAGTCCTCACTGCACAAATAGCAGTTAGGAGGCCAGGAGTGGAAAAGATGCTTAGGAGAGCCTGTAACACGAGGAGAGGACTGGACCCCCAAAGAAAACCTGGAGATCGCCAGTACTCACAGGAAGGCAAAGAGCATCCCTCGGAGGGGGTTGAGAATGGTGAATGATGTCCTAGAATGCAAGGGAAAAGAGATTCCAGAAGGATGGAGTGAGTGGCCACCACGTGAAATGATGAGAAGAAGGTAGGAGGAAAGAGTCAAGGAAGAAAAAGGGATTGGAGGAAAATGTTGCCTGGATGAGAGATTTTAAAGTTTTGCCTGTCTTGAGGCAATTCGACCATTCTCTGATAGTAGAAATATCACATGTCCACATGTAAAAGACCAAGTGCTACTTGAGTAAAAATAATAAGTGAAGAAATGTGTCAATGTAAAGAGATACAATATAAAATGAGTTGATATTCATCAGGTTTCTCTGTCCCCTCCCGTGAGGTAAAGGAGGGGGAGGTAAAGAGAGCAAGTTGAACCTGAGATCCAATAAAAGGAGTTCATCAAGACCGATAAGGAGAGGCTCAGCTCGTCTTCAGCTCAAGAGATGACTCCAAGGTAGCTGTTCCTAGGAAGAAGGGTCTGTCTAGGGGTTGTTTAGGAATCAGAGGCAAGAGCTTTGCAAGTTTCAAATAAATCAGATTTATCTGAAGGTCAGTGTGGACCTTGTATCAGGCAGATCTCGGAGCTAATCAAAGGATGCATTCTCTGAGACTCTAGCAGGGTCTCCAGAAAGAAGCTGGTCAGAAGTCATCAGGTATAGGACATTTTGCCTCTCTGTCTCCCACCAGGGTATATTCAGTAACATAAGAAGACATTTTGGTGTTCATACTTGGGGAAGGGGGCTATTCTCTACTGCCGTCTAATAAGTGAAAGCCAGTTACACTGCTAAACATCCCTCATYGCACAAGACAACCCACTCGCTGCAGAGAACTGTCCAGTCTGAAATGTTACTGTGTCCAGGTTGAGAAACTCTGGACTGCACTAATAATAACGTGTCATTGGTTTATTACAAAGATTTTTCTCCAAAGGCTTACATTTATATTTTATCACTTACAAATTACTTATGTATGCAAAATGTTTTCTTTCTTTTAGATGTAGTGAAATAAGCAGAATCATCCTTCCAACTTCATATTAAAACAGAATTCTGAGCCCCTGAAAGATTACAAGAAATTTCCAGAAATATAACTTGTGCCTCCTCATTTCAATAGCCCTCTACYAAGCAAAAAATAACTATTTAATGTGCAAAAATAAAACTTTCTAATCACTCAAAAAGAGTAGACTGAATTGGCTTTGCATCCTGTGAGAAAGATATATTCTTATAACTYAAGGCTTGTAGACCATCTTCTTAGCAGGTCCTACAAAGTTCTTTGCAAATGCTCTTTTGGGTCTTCAATGTTACCAAAGGCCATCCAATTCTGCTGCCCTGAGAAGTACAGGAAAGTTGATCCTTGGATTCATGAGCATTATACATGTTTATTAGAATACATTATTTTGAAACTAGATGATATGTAACTATGATGATATGTTCCTAACTCTAGCTCCATCAAAAGAGCTATATGGGGCTTGGGCTGGGGCTCAGTGGCAGAGCACTTGCCTAGCATGCGTGAGCCACTAGGTTTTATCCTTAGCATGGCGTACAAAAATAAATAAAATAAAGGCATGCTTTCCATCTTCAACTACAAAAACAATTTTTTTTAAATTAAAAAAAATGACTTACATGGCTCACTCAAGACCAAAGCACAAAATAAAACAGCATACCCTAAAACTCAACCTCAAGTAGCAAGACGTAGCAACACATGTATGGTTTCACTAGCTTAATCACAAAGCTAATTCCAGCACAGCACAAAATGTCCTCTGKGTGAACCAGAGGCACCTCAGTTTACTAACAGGGTCAGGGTTAGGGTTAGGGTTAGGRAAACATTTTTCTGAGAAACCAGGAATCTTTCGATTCTCTCCATTTATCTGACAAAACAAAAGGTGGTGAGGCCAAAATGACTTTACAGAAATCCTTCAGAATTTCAGGGAAGAATGCCTTTTATTGTATATATTCTTAAATGAGACTAGTAAGTCTCACCTCCTAAAAACATCATCATGTAGACTAAGAGATATTGACAGATGCAGTCAATGTTCAAAACCCTCCCTTTCTCCCATTAGAGAATGTGTAGCTAAWTTTTTCCAAGAGTCTCTCAGAGAGAGAGAGAGTACCTTGCCATCTACATTTAAAGCTGACTAAATGGACATAAGGGCACACTTCAGACATCGTATTATTTCTCCGATGGACTGAATAAGCACACACGATATATGGGTCATTACTCTGATGAGGAAACTAACATTGAACATGGAAACAAGTTACCCATAAAATTAGATGGAGAGCAACACAAGGGTCTGTAACTTAGCTACTGGAACTGAGGTCCATGGTTCTGGCATCACCTGGGAGCCTGTTAGAAACATAGACTTCCAACCCCACCCTAGACCTCAATCAACATTTTAACAAGATCCCCAGAGGGTGCTCAGCAATTTCAAGCCAGAGAAGCACGGCGTCTAGAATTCAGCGACCTTTCCGAAAACCCATGTACCATGTTGTTTCTTCGTAGTTAACTCATTTATTTTGGCTTCTTTGCCCTTTCATAAATGCAAATTCTGTGAGGTGGTAGCAGATCTGACTGAGGCTTGAGAAGATTTATATCTGCTGGGCAAAGACATTTTTGAAATAGAACTGAGTTATCACCCTTTCTGCTCTAGACACCTAGTTTCTTAGGGGGTCCATTTATAATAGGCAACTCCTGCTAACTTTCCAAGTTTGGAAGATAGAAAAAGAAGGAAAAGGGGACCGTAACTGTAACAAAGAACACTTTACCAGTTTTATTCTTTATTCTTATTTACTGGTTTTCTACTTATAAGATTTAGGGGAAGAATGTATCATATCTATATACTTTCCTGAATCCGTGTGTGTTTTGCATGGAGTCCTAAACCCAGCTCTGAGGGTACCACCATCTGCACCAGAGAACGCAGGTGGAACAGCCCCAATTCTTGGCAGATGAAAAAAAACTCTAGACTACAGACACCTGGGGACCAAGGGCCCCACCTGCTCTTCACCTCTCCTCTTGGGAGACAGCTAGACTCTGAATCTTCGGCTCTCACCCTCTCCCAATATTCATGTCATTCATAAGATTTAAGACAGATAAGGTCAACGCACCTGGAATCTCCGCATGTCACGTGGGTTTCCCGCATTCTTTAGGCAATTCTGGTTGCATTTGAGAAAAAATTTCAAGAAGAACCTGTGAAGAAACAAATCATCATGATTAGAATTTCAGTTCTGATACGGGGGGCAAAAAAGTAAGGGGGTCRCTTCTGGGTCGTGTTTTTTTATTGATTTTACTCATTTTCTGAAATATTCAGAATGATGTCACAACCAGGACTTTACTTGAGCACTCATCTTTTGTTATGGATCCCGGCTGGACCTTCTTGATGAAGGGAACACCCTGGATACTGCCAGCAGATCTCTCAAAAAAAGTGAGTCCCCAAGGAAGTAGTTTCACTCATAGGGGAGAAGTTCTCCACCATAATTTAAGGGAGGTTCCAAGAGGATCTAATTGGTGGAGAATTCTCATGGTCCCCKAACACAACATGTAATTTAAACCTTTTAAATTCACAGATGAGGAACAGCAAAGTACGTGCAGGATGAATGCAAGGATATGGTGAACACTTCATCCCAGCATCTCCAATTAAAACGTCCTAATTAGTTGTATCCCGAGGTGGATAAAACTCACATACTGACTGAGCTCCTTTAACTTCTCAAGTATCTCCTGAATGTTTTTCTTATACTGCCAGCTGCAGACAAAAGCTATTTGTGATGGACTAAGGAGCTTCCTGACTCCCTGCTACCTCGGTTTCTGAATTGGTTCTATAGKGAAATCCCTGGATTTTACTTGGTAAAATGACCAAAGGGTCTAATTTGGCAAGAAAAATCCCAGCTCTACTGGCATRAGTATTAATAGCACCTATTTTAATGCTCAGAAACTTCCTGTTATGAGTGATACATTACATGGTCACCCAGTAATTTTCTGAGTTATTTCTTATATAACCATCATAGTTGTTAAATTCCATGAAGGCAGCAAGTATTAAAGAATGCACATTCATGTTGGCAACCTACAGGCAAACCCCACTCTCTGTTTCAGGTGGAGAAGGATTTTTATAGTCATCTAAGTTCTGCAATCCATTTTACTTTTAGACCTAGATATACCTATGAATTTCAGGACCAAAGATTTTCAAAAAATGTCAGAATGCATTAAAATACTGGTCAATTACATTTTTGAGGAATTCTCTTTTCTTTACATTTTTCCCATTATTACACTGGATTAAAATCCCCACCTTGATACAAGCAACTTGTGAAGAACTATCACTTCATGATGTCCCCATTTGATTAGCTCAGAGCACAATGTCTATCAACCCCMACCCCCACCCCTGAGGTYTCCATCATAAGTGTACTGCACAAAGAGTCACTGAGTTCAACCAATTTCTGAATACTAATCCAAGAAAAGTCCCAGAGGAACCTCCCTCTTCCCTGGTCCTTCATTTGTTTTTCCATTTTTTTTATTGGTGCATTCTAGTTGTACATAATATTGGAATTTGTTGTTACACAATTGTCCATGCAATCAGTACAATAATATAATTGGGSCAATATCATCCCCCTTTTCCCTTTCCTCCTTCCTTCCCACTCCCTGGTCTTTTAGCATCTGCCAAGATGGAAGTATGGTGTGGGAATAACTCTTCAAAGAGAAACAATGACTTTTTCAACCAAAAGAATAAAATTTTAAAATGCCAACTTCATCCTTGAAACGGCTCTTTCAACATTATGAAAACTTTGACAGTCCATCAGTGACAGCATCTCTCCTTCCAGGCTCTCTCCACAGAGGTCCAAACCTATCCACTTTTTATCCAAGATGAATGACTCCGAAAACACAGCTGAAGGACAGCTATGTGCAAAGAAATCCAACTCTGGACCCCCTTCTCAGTGAAGGGTGACACTGCCACTACCTTGGGTACTCTTTCAAGACTTGGGAAAGTCTCTTCTGTTGAAAGAGGACCTGAGGCCATCTTTTGCACTGTCCCATTCCTCTGAGCTCTCCAAAGTTGATCCTACAGAGCTCACGTGATTTTCATAAATCATTTAATATGGTGACCTGGTGGTAGAGAGACCCCCATATTACTGGTGCTCCATTCTATGCCCAGGGACACCTGAGATGCAAAAACTAGTGGCTTCCTTCAAGTATGGCTAGGTAGAAAGGTASATATGAAAGCCACCCCAGGCCTTAGAAAAGACAGATGACCATTATATTGACATGACAGTTGGAGTGGGGTGATGGAAAAGCCATGAACTTTAAAAAATGCCCTGAATGAAATTCACACCCTGACTCTGCCAGGTGCTTCCAAGCTCAACTTCAACTTTTCTTRTCTATAAAACTGGCATAATAGGGTTTTTATCCCTAGATAATGATAACCTCTAACACATGGGAAGCATGGGGATGGTGGCAATAATGATAACAATGACTTCCAAGTAGTGCTGCTTCCCAGGAGCTCAGTACACTGCTAAGAGCTTCAAACACGCTTCCCACTTAATCCTCCTAAACAAAACCTCTGCTATTTTAACATAGAGAAATGAGAAGATAACCAGGAAAGTTAAATAACTGGCTCAAAGGTGAATCAATGTGAATTTAGAGTTCAAATTTACACAGGGCGATTTACACAGGGCGGCTCCAGAGCTGCTAAAAGTTCTAGTATTACTAAAACTATCATAGCTCTTAACCATCATGCTACTGGAGTTTTAGTCTTAATAGAGGTGGTGCAGTAATGATGTTAGTAGCAATTGTACCACTGATAGCAAATGTATGATAATAGCAACAGTACTATGAAGAGTAAATAAGGGTATCACTAAGAGATGATCAGTAGGATTATTTGCATASTGGCAGAGTGGACATGATGTAGGGAGACATCAGTGCCATTCTCCCTCCACGGGGCCCCCTGCCTGCTTCCCTGAGGTTGGTAATATTTGCTGCCTGTGTGTGTTTAAGCCATTTGAGCCCAGACCCGACAGCCAGCTTCAAGTTGTGTTAGAAGGAGCTGTCAGCACACCCTCTAGCATCTTAGAGTCAGACAACTGCTAGCCACCAAGAGGGGGCCCATCTGGTGCCAAAATGGATTTTGAAAGACAGGCAAACAGGACACTAGCTCTGCCAGAGAGAAACAGAATCAAGGGAGCAGGGAATCTTCTGCCTCAAAGATGAGCAGGGCAAGGCGCCTGTCAGCAGCCCATCGTTAGCACAAAAGCTATGCCGGGCACACACCAGATCCCCATTACCCGAGGCTGCCCCGCCACTTGGCCTGCTGGCAGAATCCCCTGCCCACCCCCTCCGAAGCGGATCACTTGCTGAAATTGAAGTCTTGACCATCTGTCGTGGGGAAGACACAGCCGTCAACTGGTGCCTGGGGCCTCACACAAGCCCTTATGTGGCAAAGACACACCGAAGGGCCGATTCTTTTGGGGAAAGCCAGTCCTCCCCCAGGGAGAGCCTCAGTAATTCTCTCAAAGTTTTCCCCTAAGTAGAAGCCAAGTGTCTRACCCTTTCGGATCACACTTCCTTAAAGGAACTGAGAAGAGTCAGGAGGAGTTAAAAATATCCTCACCGAGAGACAGAGTTAGACAGGGCACACAAATTTGAGGGATGATTTATTGGGCTAAATGTATCAGGCGTTTAAGACCCAGGGGCACGTGCATGTCTGCTGGCCTTCAGAGAGGATCTCTGATTCTGAAGGGGCTCTTAACAAGGTGGAGGTGACTGTAACTCAAAACCTCACTTTTGTCTAAGGAATTGCTGCATTTTGTGTTGTCGGTGTGTTTGATAAAGTGTTGTCAGGAGAAAGAGTGTGACCTCTTCACCCCWATGGTGGAAAACTGACCCACAGTGGGATGAAGACCTTACTGACCCTGTAGAGTTCCAAGGAGTTTCAGAAACTCCAGGACACACAGCCCCACTGGGATCAAACTACTTTTAAATTCAGGTGTTCTTTTTGAGGGACTCCAGGGGTAGTTTGCAAGAAAACCAATACTTTTTGTTAACTTTTGATACATGTAACATCATCCTCTGTGCAGTGTGTTATTATTCAAAGAATCTAAATCCCCAGCATCTCACTGAATCCTCACAGAAGTCCTATCAATTAGGCATGCTGGGAATTAGCAAACCCATCTGAAAGGCAAGACAACAAAGACTCAACAAAACTGAGACACGGTCAAAAAACTAATCTCCTAGATTACGAACAGGACTAGTCATGGTGTAAGTTTTCTGTGAATCATAGGACTTTCTAAGTGACCTTAACCAACACTTAGCCTAATCTCATTTTGCATGAGGAACATAGTGACCAGGGGATGGGACAGTGTTCACTAGTTCATAGTGGTTACAAAARGGAGAACAGTACTCCCCCATCCTGACCTCTAGTTTATGATCTTTTTCAGAGTGATGAGACCTTTTCAAAAGCCCATCCAACRCAAGCTCAACACTTGAGCTCTTGAACTTTTCAGTTCACTTCAATTAAGGAGAGTGACAATCATAAAACCAAAAGTGACATCGTATTAAAAGCTGTGTTTAGGTTCATCAATCAGACATAGGACATTAGTCCATCACTGAACTAAGTGATCCAGACACACAGATTGCAGAACAAAATTTCCTATTCAATGATATATCGGTATCACATTTTACCAGCCAGCAGCTGGTCAGTATTTAGCTTGAGCACTGTATGCTTGCTAGCTTCCATGCAACTAGTAAGGTACTGGAGAGCAAAAGGTAACTYTGGACTCCTTCAAAAGGAGAATTGATCAAATTCACCAGCAGGATCAGACTCATTATGATATATAAAATAACAACAACAACAAAAACCCGCCTCTGTATACACAGTGTTTGGTTTGGGACCCAGACAGAATCTAGAACCTCCARAAAGATAGAAATAGGAGCATTCTATAATAAGGACAACCATGGAGTGTGCTACAATAAGACAAATGGATATATTTCATCAATTCCTTGAACCTCAGTGGCCTCAATAAAATGTGGCAATAACAGTAGCTCTCCCCTGGGGCCACTGGGCAGCTCTCATTATGATCTCAGCTTGACTGCATAACAAATCGTGTGACTTGAGACAAATTATTTAATCTCTCTGTGCCTCACTTTTCTCATCTGTAAAATGGGGAAAAGAACAGAACTGACTTTTGAGAAGTTAGTGAGAATTT